CTGCAAATACTTTTTGACCAGGTTCCAGGAACAAGCTGGATCTATCGTTAGTGTTTCTCCACTGAAAAATCTTCGGACAGCCTGCCTTTGTGCATGAGGCAGGCGCTGTCTACTCTGGAGAACCAGGCATTCCTTCAGGGACTTCAGGAGAACAAGCAGCTACAAGAGCCATTTTCGTGGTCCTTAGTGATAAGTACCACATTTTAATTTTGTAAGAGTTCCTATTTGGGGGGGATTTTTTGTACTGGGACAATAAATGTTATAGAGTTACACTATATTTTGTCTCTCTTTGCCTTAATGAATTTCCAGTACACTATTGGGTCCTCAATTGCTACAGTAGCAATTTGGAGTTTCCCCCAAAGGAACCTATATGTGAATTGAACAGACTTTGGACTTTTTAGGGACAGTTATACTGTTTTTATTGATACAGTTTTTTAGATACATTTTTATATGTGTCCACCCTTGATAAATTTTAAGGGGATTATCTTCTAAGCGTTGACAATATCAATTAGCATCTAAAGTATAGGATGTGGGAAAATTCTTTGTTTTGTTGCCGTTGCTAATATATAGTGGGTACCTTGGGTACAATTTTCATTATTTTGCTAATCTCTATTTCCATTAAGAACAAGAGGTTGTCTAGTCAGACAATATATTAGCGATAACGCAGGTTTTTAATTTATTATATGCGCTCTCTTTTTTTATCTTTTCTATTTATTTTATTGGCTTGTAGTTTTTCATATTAGATTCATTAAATTCATTAAAAAGTCTAATATTAATAAAATTATAGAAAAAACAATTTTATCATTTGGGGGGAAAAAGTCTTTTTAGGTTTCGGCTTTTGGCCAAGGGCATCCTGAATTTTTGGTTTTGACCCAGAATTTTCATTTTGGTGTGTCCCTATGCATCATTTTGAGACAACTGTTTAATTCAAAAGCTTTAGCTTATGAGATAGTTGCCTTACTCTGTTTTTTTTTTATTTTCATGTATACCTGCTTCTTCCTTCTTATGCTTTCCCCCTGGAGTGGATGAGGAATGCATAAGAAACCAAGTCATATCCCTAGGAATGCTGTAAAAGTGCATTGGGTATGCCTGATTTACATATGTACAGTATGAAGATCTCTGCACCTTGCATCATGACAGAAGGAACAGAGAGGGCATCTGAGCCGTGTTTTCTCTCTACTGCTGGTGAACAATGAAGTTCTGTTTCTGTCATTAGTGGAATGGTCTGAAACGGAGATTGGTGGGTAATATGGAGAGTAGGCTTAAGAAACTCCCCTGGCTGAGAGGCGTAAACAACAATGCCATCAGGACAAGTTTATAATATGCTTATAAACATTTATTACATACTTTTTCTTTTCTTTTGACTTGTACATTTGTTTAACAGTGTTTTTCTTACTGGTTTAAAAAACAAAAAGGTGAAGTGATGCATGTCCCTTTGAATACCCTTTGGTTTATCCTAGACACTGCACACCATGGATTATAGCTATGAAAAACAAAAAGCATATAAGTAAATTTAAGCACAGACCTCCATTATTTCCCCTAATGGCAGTATAATTACACTCTACAGCACACACACACACTACAGCACGGACACACACACACTGCACTTTCTAGACAAACACATACACTACACCCTCTAGACACACAATCTCTAGAGCTCCTAGACAAGACACACACACTTTCTACAGTCCCTATAAACACACACTTTACAGCTCAGCCTTAGCCTGGGCTGTAGTATATGTGAGAAGTTAGGGTGGCAGGTATTAAAAAATAATTATAATGATCAAATAAAAGTTTATTCCTCTTCTGTCTTGCTTATCTAGGGCTAGGTATCGGGAAGCTGAGTCCAAGTGGTCCCATGGGCAGAGCATCTGGTCTACACCTCCAGAAAGTGGAGACCTTAAGCTTCCTAAGAACCCCTACCATTAGGGTGGGCTGCCTGGTGAGGGAGTTCTTTGATCTCAAACCAGCCAAGCAGCTTCCTCTTTAGAATGTTTATATACCATTATGATCATATAGCATCATGTTCATATTTGAGGGTCGAAGGAATCCTAAAATTACAAAGATTGAGTCTATATAAACATAAACTGGAATTTCTAAAAAGAGTTATATATATATATATAACCTCAATGGAGTGCACTTACATGACTCGTAATAGTGATATGATGCTTTTATTCAGCAAGTATATTCAAACAAATAATGTTGACATTTCAGTCCATCCAGACTTTTACCAAGACATATATATATATATATATATATATAAAAGATAAAAATCAGTTCCTGCACTCACGCTGAATTTCCCTTCACGACCGGGTGCCAACCATATATAGCCAAAAAATACAAAAAATACAAATTAATGGTTGCACTCACGGTTTTTCCAATTAAAATTCCAATTTTTTATGATCCTGATGAAAGTCCTCTGGGTAGGACTGAAACGTTGATCGCAGTTTTTATGAATTGACAATAAACTTTGGACTTTTAATTGGAAAAACCGTGAGTGCAACCATTAATTTGTATTTTTTTTATATATATATATATATATATATATATATATATTAAAATGAAATATAAAAGTCTGCTTGAACTGGAGAATGGCAAAAGCAGACATTTGAAATCCATACACCTCCCATGTCAGTTTTGCATTGGAAGTCCAGGACATGCAGAGATAACGTGCCTATAAAAGATGACTCATACAATTATAATTTAGATGAACATTCAGTGGATTTATTTTGAACATCTGTAATAATTAGCAGATTATATTTTAAATGAACACTCAGTCCCCCATAACAACCCGGGCCGGACTGGCTACTAAAAGCAGTGCTAGAAAAAATTCTATACCAGCCCAATAATGCGTAGCATCAGCATAGTGTGCAGATATAGAGGGTGAAAAAATAACTTAAAATTGAAAACTATTACTCCAAAGAAAGAACGCCCATAGGGCGTCAAAATAAACAAAGGACCACCTTTATTTTAACCCCTAAACGCCGTTACGGCGTTCTATGCCGTCCCGCATTAAGTGGGCTTTAAAGCCGTTGCGACGGCATAGAACGCCGTAGCAGCTTTGAGCCCCTGGAGGTCTGGCGTACTTACCTTCGCCGCGATCCTCTTCTGGAGGGCTGCCTGACAGCCCAGGCAGCCCTCCCCCGGCAAATGAGTCCCCCTGGGGCCATGTGATCGCTCTCAAAGAGCGATCACATGGCCCCCTATAGCTGGCTGTGGCTCTGCCAGCAGGGGGACTGTATGAAATGTCAGACAGTCCCCCTGCTGGTGGGAAAGTAAAAAAAAAAGAATTAGACATGTGTAAAATTAAAATAAATGTATTTTTATATATATAATATATGTATATCTATTATATATATATATATATATATATAATAGATATACATATTATATATATGTAACATCATACAAAGTGTACTTTAATATAAGTACATATATTAGTATTAAAATACACTTAGAATGACGTTACATATGTTTTAAGGCCATATGGCCTGTATTTGTGGGAGGGGCTTAAATTAATTCACTCCCCTATATAAGGGACACCCCTTACCTGACTCATATCGCTTGAGGTCAGCATCAGAATGATTTCCACTTCCGGGTCATCCAGACGCCATTTTACCTGATTACTCCATGAGGTTTTCTAAGCTGAGCTGTGTCAGGAATCCAGCCACAGGCTTTTCCGGCCTACCACCTTCTTCAATCTATCGCTGTGGATGGTGTCCAAGTGACTCACAAACCGTAAGTCGACCTACCCGTTACGCCAGGCATCAGTCCCACGGCACCATGCATGGGTCAGGTCCTCACTTTACGGCTGCATTTTGTCTAAATCTGTCCTAGAACCATTGCATGTTCATGCATATCATTCGTTTAAATTCACTTGTTTATATCTGTCACTGGCTCATTTCGAGCATTAGCATACTCCCAAACGGGAACACATTCTGTTTCAATTGCCTAAACATACTAGGCAATTCTGTGCGTGCATTTCGAATCTCACTGCTCGTTTCGTTTTGTTTCCCTGACATACCAGGCTCACGGTTCGTGCAATTTTCTACCAAACGGGTACTAGTTCATGCATTTACTATTGTACTACACACACGCTTCGTGCGTTTACAACCCACGAACAGAACTTTGGTTTGTTACAATGACTGTTATTAAGCTATTATGTTCACTTATTGTATATTGTCAAACGGGCACTGTTTGTTTCCCTGTCACACAACTATAATGCTGGGGCATAGCTCACAAACAATGTTTCACATAAACCACACTGACCCCTACAGGTCACTCTCAAAATCTCACATTAACCTTGCATTTGGATTAACCCCTTAAGGACCAAACTCTGGAATAAAGGGAATCATGATATGTCACACATGTCATGTATCCTTCAGGGGTTAAAGGGTATTTTACCATACAATCAGCATTTCTGACCCCTACTGGTCAACAGCAAAACTGTCTTCACATGTCATATACAATTACCAGCCAATATAAATTATACATAAGATTGTTTTAAACATAACCATAAACCATGAATTAAACTCCAACACAGGCTCAACTTCAGGTTTAATTCACAATAATTTACATTTCACATTAACACTAACAGTGGTTCTATCAACACTGCCACCTACAGGTCTGTCAAGTACATTGACAATTTTCATGGGTTTTTACAAACACCAAAACACTGACCCCTATAGGTCAACAGACAAACAACATTTCACATACAAATCAGTATCAACTACACTGCCACCTATAGGGCACTCGGCAGATCTCCATGTTCACTTGCATTTTGCAACTCCATGTTCACTTGCCATTCAATAAGGCATACAACAATTCACATAGCAAGCAGTATATCAATATCTGTTATAAATACATATATTATTACACAGTAGCACACGCATCTGTATATACGTAACTGGTAATATGGTTCACATACATATGGCACTTAATGGGTTAAGATTGATACATATTTAACTAGTATGGATATGATGTTTAATATTTACATATCACGGCACTTTACTTTCACATATACTGTATGTTTTAAGATAAGCTTGGTCTATGCCATATTTCCTTATGCCATACGATTTTATCCGTTCAGGTTGCAGTTACTACTAAAAAACCTATACGGATTGTCAGGTTCAATACCATACTACCAGGTACGTACACCTGCTCACGTATTTATCCATCTCTTACCTTCCCTGGAATAGTAATAGTGTACCGGCAATTAGGGTTCTAGGGCCCAATAGGTATTATCCCCTTTTTTTCTCTGCATTATGCTTCGGTTAGTGGTCCCGCGAGGCCAACACCCCGCCTCACACTCGGAGGCATACACGCATTGTATCATAGAGAGGGCCTCACCTGTCACTCCCCTTCCTATTTTTCTGGTTACTGTCACCGAGAGGCCAACATCCTGCCACAACGTTCGGTGGCCACACAAAATCCCCTCGCACCAAGCATAGATAGAGCCTCTCAAGCCACTTGGCAACTAACAGGGCCTCACCAGTCACCAAAAAACACCAAGCCTAATCGTTTCGCCTTACGGCTTAGCTAGCATGCCGGTACAAGATCCTGGGTACAAATATATAATTGCAATCTTTATTGTTATTTAAGTATTTCTCAAAAAGATGGTAAAGAATCACTTCTTCCTAGCACCACGGCTAGAAGTGATACACCTTCATCTCTTACCTTCCCTGGAATAGTAGTAATGTACTGGCAATTAGGGTTCTATGGCCCAATAGGTATTACCCCCTGTTTCTCTGCATTACGCTTTGGTTAGTGGTCCCACGAGGCCAACACCCCGCCTCACACTCGGAGGCATACACCCCTCGGGCCACTCGTGAGCTAGCCGCCTCGCATTGTATCATAGAGAGGGTCTCACCTGTCACTCCCCCTCCTATTTTCTGGTTACTGTCACCGAGAGGCCAACATCCTGCCACAACGTTCGGTGGCCACACAAAATCCCCTCACGCCAAGCATAGATAGAGCCTCTCAAGCCACTTGGCAACTAGCAGGGCCTCACCAGTCACCAAAAAACACCAAGCCTAATCGTTTCGCCTTACGGCTTAGCTAGCAAGCCAGTACAAGACCCCTGGGTACAAATAATAATTGCAATCTTTATTTTTATTTAAGTATTTCTCAAAAAAATGGTGAAGAATCATCTCTTCCTGGCACCCCGGCTAGAAGTGATACACCTTCAAGCAGAGGAGATGTGGCTCCGACCTATGGAGGCGGCAAATCCCCTACCCTGCCACAGCAAGGAAAGCAGAGTTATTCAAACTCCTCCATACATGAACGGACAACACGGAAGCAGGGGAAGGCCCAGCAACACCAACTCAGGTGACACCCAGGCCATGCTAGCCTCACTCATAAACTCATGAGCCAAAAAAATTTACGACAGACTGGCAATCTCGAGTCGGTCACAGCTCTCACAAGGCTGGGCCTCACGCTACTGTACAACCAGCACCAACCGAAACTCTTTTACCTGGTACAATCAATTCTTGGTACAAGACGTTAACCCTGCACATATGATCCCGGCACATTGGGGAAACAAGGCATATATATGTATGATGATGTATCTATGATGGTCAGACCCAGGGATTCTAGGTAAATCGGGAACTGACGATCCCTTGGTTGTGTTGGCATTTAGAATATGTAGAGATGCTTATTTGTGCAGGTACCCATACAGAAGGGATTTTCTCCCAAACAAACGGACGAGCACTCTCAGGCTCCAGGTACCAGCACCTCTGAACTACCAGAGACAATTGGTATTAGTAGTTGCATTGCATATATGTTCAAATCATTCAGGGCACATGACAAACCATGTGTCCCAATACAACTTACAAATAACGTACTCACCATCTGTACACACCAATGCATTTTCAACACTACTGACTCATCACCCTTCCAGACTTGTAGTAGATTTACTAAGGCTCTGGAGCTTCAAATGGCTCCCATACAGGTATCATAAATAAACCCTCAAGGAATATAGCATGCCCTCACTTACAGTCAGCACAACAGAACCGTCGGCTGTAAACACACACATAGCCAAGATTTGCAGAGGGGTTTTTACTTGGGTTTTCCAATCTCCACCATTTACAGCATGGCACCAAACACAAAAACATTGGTATTGTCACAAGGGAATCTTCCCTTAAACAAAGACTTACCATAGACTTATTGGCACCACACACCTTCGCTACCCCAAGTCTCAACTCCCTCATACCCTCCGAGGAGTTTCCTTACTATACACACCATTGATCTACCTTTACAGCTATCACTCAAGCAGGGGTTGAAGCTTCGTTAAGTAAGACCAATATTATCAACACAGTAAACGGCTACCATCTACCCTACAAACTGGCACTTACATGGCATAAAATGGGCAATCCTTTCCCCGCTAAAAGCAGCTGCTGTGGCATGGGGTAAATCATGGTCAGGGTCATCAATCCGTTGTTACTCAGACAACTAAGCACATATCATATCATCAACAAACGCCACTACTCATCCATAAATTCATGATGTTTCTGGGGAACTCACTTGGTTGGCCACTTAACACATTTCACTTTCATGTACCAGACGGGGGGTATACATCCCTGCCGACAACTGTCTCGTTTATATTCCAGGCATGTTCATCATACGCTTCCTACAGCCGCCCATACAGTCACGTCCACTCTTTCGTTCCAGAGACAAAATCATGGATTAGACATACTCATGCAGCATAGCATGTACTATCCCACCTAGCACTTTCGTCTCATACTTGTAGAACGCATAACACAGCTTTTCACCTGGCTTAAAGAATCTCATTGGAACACGACATAGCTCAACCTGTGTCACAAAATTTCTCCTAAGTTTTGTTTATTTTTGCCACCTTAAACTTAAACTATCTCATACACCATTAATTATATATTTTACAGGCATTCAACAACACAGGATAACCTATGGCCAAAACTACCATAACTTCATGGTATCATACCAGACAAGAATATACTCAGAGGTTTTCAGGAATCCATCCCCCCACGTTCCTCTTAGATATTACCAATAGCCATCCAACTTTTCCATCCTTATCGGACCTATTAGAGCTACAACCATTCAATTATACTACCAAGTTGGCCATTACCACCATGCACACTGCCTTTTATGCCTTTCTCAGGCCAGAGAATCCACTACCATAACCACCACTCAGACAGATCATTGTCTTCAACGATCCCACGTATGTAAACACATATCATTACCTATTGGCTCTACCACATTCCGAAACAAGTCAACACGCACCAACAGTAGAGATAACATACTATCCTACCCACAACAAATGGTGTCCAGTTGCGGTCCTAGATTCCTACCTTCAAAAATCCTTCCAGGAATTAAATACCGTAATGCATTTAAGGAAATGTCTGGTTAATTTGTATATATTGTTGACTGTATTAAATCTTTGATTATTCTTTTGGCCCTCTTTATTTACAGGCCTACCGTATCGTCGGTCTTGGCACACCACAACCGACTTGCTCCCTTTATACTATCCTACGCTTATGCTGGAACCTTACTCCATATACGGCTATTTGCCCTGAACACAAGTTTTAAGGCCGTTTGGCCTGTATTTGTGGGAGGGGCTTAAATTAATTCACTCCCCTATATAAGGGACACCCCTTACCTGACTCATATCACTTGAGGTCAGCATCAGAATGACCCTCCCACCCACTCCTCATTTCAACACTTTCTATTTTCTTTCCATTTACTTTACTTACTTACTCCTTGGTGGGCCCTCTTTATTTACAGGCCTACCGTATCGTCGGTCTCGGCACACCACAACCGACTTGCTCCCTTTATACTATCCTACGCTTATGCTGGAACCTTACTCCATATACGGCTATTTGCCCCGAACACAAATATAATATATATATATATATTATATATAATAGATATATACACATATATTATATATATATACGTATAATTACAATAATAAATAAAATAAAATAAATAAAATATTGAAACAAAATTTAATATAAATTATATATTCATATGTAATTTCATTCTAACTGTATTTTTTTTATTAATATATTTATATTGGTAACAAAATACACTTAGAATGACATTCTATATATATATATATATATATATATATATATATATATATATATATATATATATATATATACTTTCTCTATATATATATATATATATATATATATATATATATATATATATAAATACAAATAACACATATATATATATATAGATATATATATATATATATATATATATATATATATATATATATATATATATATATATAAAATAAAAATAACCGCATATATATATATATATATATATATATATATATAGATAAATACATATAATTACATAAAAGATTACATTAGTATACACGTAGAATTTAAATACTTATAAATGCATATATATAACAATTCTATGTGTATGTTTAAGTAATCTTTTAACATAATTATGTGATCTGATTAATTAAAATTTGATTGACATGCCTGACAACACAGGGAGAAAGTGCAGAGAATTTAATTCGCAAGCACTATATTTGACCCTTTAACTCTCCAAGACACCATAAAACTTGTACATAGGGGGTACTGTTTTACTCGGTATTAGTGTTTCGAAATGATAAATTGTATTACAACGATGATATTTTAAGTAAAAGTGACATTTTTTGCATTTTTTACAAACGAACGGCACTTTTATGGACTATATTATTGTTGTAATATGTTTTACTGTTTTAAAAACACAAATATTTGTGTTTAGTGAAGTCTCCCGAGAATAACAGTACCCCCCATTTACAGGTTTTATGGTGTTTTGGAAAGTTAGAGAGTCACATATAAGGCTTGCATTTCATTTTTTTGACATTGAAATTTGCCAGATTGGTTATGTTGTCTTTGAGAGCGTATGGTAGCCCAGGAATGAGAATTACCCCCATGATTGCAACCATTTGCAAAAGTAGACAACCCAAGGTATTGCAAGTGGGGTATGTCCAGTCTTTCTGAGTAGCCACTTAGTTACAAACACTGGCCAAATATTAGTTTTTTGCTTTTTTCACACAAAAACAAATATGAATGCTAACTTTGGCCAGTGTTTGTGACCAAGTGGCTACTAAAAAAGACTAAACATTTGACACTCTACGAAGGAGCTATCAGAAGGGTGGTATAGCATTTCCAGATGTCGATAAAATCCATGAAGCATGTATGGCGACTCATCTTCTACAGTGGCTAGACAAGGAACAGGGATATAAATCATGGTTTACCCTA